TTCCTCTTCTGTAGCGCCCCAACCCCCTTGACCATGCTAGTTGATGGTCCATTCCCCTAAACATGGTCCCGTCTTCTATCCCCCCAAACCATACCTTTCAGAGCACCAAACCCATTGTGTGGTCATCGGCTGCACTTGTGATATTTGACTAACGTCTGCTCCCTCACTAGCTTGTATGCTGCTGGATTCAATCTGGGCATGGCGGAGGCCACGCCTCCTTTCTCACCCTGAATCCCTGGCCCCCTGCCCTGTGTCTGGTAAATACAGGCACTAAAGAAATGTTTTTTGAGTGGATGAACGAATGAACACAGGGAAAGCTTATATAGTCCTTTTTGGCCTTTTCAGCTCAGACTTTCAGTAAGTAGGGACTTCATAAGCACCCCCTGTAGATGATCTGTAGAAAGAGGAAGAAAAGCATGGCATACATTCCATTTAGAAATTGTTTTTCTGTACATGGGCGTCTCCACCATTTCTATTTAATTTGCTACTATAAACAAGCCAATGGCATTGCAATAAATGTGGTTGTCTTGGCATAGCAAATTTGCCCTGGCATCAGAATGTGAAACGTTATCAGGGCCCCAAAAGTAAGACCTTAATGTACTTGGTGAGATTTTACTTTTAGCAGAAACCCTTGTTCTCAGATAAGCTACTGGCTATGTATATTCTCATGTTATTTTTCTTCAGACCAATTCCATTGAGGAGTGGAGATGGGGCAGGGAATGTGGCATTTCGCATCTTTCTATCTGGAATTCCCTTTCCCTCATTAGAGCTTTTCCTTAATACGTTTTTTTGTCTGCTTGTCAACAGTGACAGGTAAAAATAGCGATAAATAATCCAGCAAGCCAACTAAATGACTTCTGGGATAAAGAAAAAGGGAAAACTAGAACAATAGCAATCCCTACGGAGTGAATGTGTTAAACACACTAATTTGCACCGAGCAGGAAAAGATTGTGGAACAGACTTAGAACAACTGGGAATGAGAGGAAGGGGATACAGGTATATACTGTTTTTCTGACTCGATGGGGGAAAGCGAGGGCAATTCTTCTTCATGGAACCTCTCCACCTTCTGTCCCTCATTAGCAAGGGATCTGAGTGGATAATGACTGCTGCCCTTGTTAAGTTCAGAAACCAACAGGGAGAGAAGAAAAAATCAGGAGGAAACAAAAGGTTATTGGGAGAAAAAGGAGTGTGTGTTTTCCGATAGCTGCCATAACAAAGCACCGCTAATGGGTCCCTGAGAACATCAGGGATGTCTTGTCTCATAGTTCTGGAGGCCAGGAGTCTAAAATCTCTGAAGGCACAAGGGAAGGGCCTGTCCCAGGCCTCCCTCCTTGGCTCATAGACGGCCTTGTCCCTGTGTCTGTCCACTTCGTCTTCCCTCTGTGTGTGTCTGTCTCGGTGTCCAAATGTCCAAATTCCCCTTTTTTATAGGAATGTCAAGGTTATTAGATCAGGGCCACCCAGACGCCCCTCACGGCTCATGGGATTGAGCCCCACATCAGGCTCTGTGCTGACAGCATAGCACGGATTCTGCTTGGGATTCTCTCTCTCCCCCTCTCTCTCTCTGCCCCTCCCTTGCCCCCTCTCTCAAATTAAATAAATACATTTAAAAAGAAAAAGGACAGGAGAGAAATAGGAACTTAGCCCACATGACCTTGTTTTCCATCAGGTGGTCTAAAGGTGCTGTCTGCTTCTCGTGCTGTGATGCTCCTCTGGCTGGTGCTGGGAAAGGGGCCATGGTTCTTAGAATCATGCCTTCTTGCTGATATTTCTGTTACCTGCTGCCACTCCTGCTTTCTGCTGGACACCATGAACCCATCAGAGGGAGGAGAGGCGGCCAGGGGCGGGGAGCTGGAAAGGGGCGGGGAGCCGACCCTGCCTCCTCTGCCTCCCAGGGCAGAAGGGGTTGAACGTGAGCCAGTGGTGGGAGATGAGTCAGGTGGAAATTGGGTGGGTAGGGAAGATGGAGAGGCTGCTTATCTTATTTAATGCAAAGAGAGGAGCATCTCAAAGGCAGGCCTCTCAATTATGTAACAGAACAATGCAAGAAGGTGGGATGGACGTTGCCAGGAGGCAGGGAACTCGGGGACATAAGAAAGACAGAGTCGGTGGCAGGGACTTGTTGCTTTTATAGGCTGGGGCTGGGGCTGGGGCTGGGGTTGGGGGATGGTGAGTTAAAGACATAGAAACACTGAGGGTAATATTCTCATATAATTTTCCCCTCTAAGACCCCTCATAGATATTCAGCATATCCCTGTGGGCACTTCTCTTTCATTATAAGGGACAATTCTTTCTTTTTATTTTCGGGAGGGAGGCGAAGGGACCTCTGAGTATCCCTTGCCTGTGCTCAGCCAGACATGGAAACCTCTGGGCTGGAATTTTTAATACTTTCCATTCGGGTGACTTCAGCAAAAGCCGGCGAGGGAGGCTGTCTTTGTAATTATCCCCCTGATGAGGAAGCCAAAAGGTCTTCAGTGTCTTAGTATCGTACTTCAAAAGAAGCAGGAGCAAAGCTAGAGTGTGCCCTGAGATGGGGGCGGGCGGAAGCCAGCGTCGCCCAGGAGAACGAGAAGAAATGCTTGGGTGCTGGAGGTACAGGCGATGGTGATTTCACCGTTGTTGTAGCTGTAATTAGTAGTCATGGCCAGGAATACGGCTCCCTGCAAGAAACACCTGTAAGATGGTTTGGCCTAGAGGGGTGCAGTGGTACTGCGGGGTTACCTGGTGAAGCGAGGAGTTCCGGATGCAGCAGGGGCTCAGGCAAGATGAGGTGGCTGTCGTTTGTAGCACGACCCCATGCACTGCATGGATCCCTTTCAGATCTGAGTTTTCTGTTTTCCGTTAGTCCTTCAGACCACAACCCCCAGCCTACAACAATGCATCTCCAGTAATGCCACCCTTGGAAGTAGATGGAGGTTTTGTGACGAGTTACTGGAATGTACCCCTCTCCTCTGTCCGGTGACACCTCACATTTGTCTTCTCTGTGTCTCTTCTATAAAGGCTGTTTCTGGGGCTCAGTATAGTCCATCCTCAGGACAATTAGGTAACACACAGATACGGCATCTTGAAGACACGCAACATACACATTCACATCAACTGTGTAGGTTTCAGGTTTATTTCCATGTTATTTTCATCCTGTGTGTTCTCTCTCTCAAATTAAACCTAATAGTATGATAGAATAGTAACGAGTATCATTATTCACATTAAAAAAAAAAGAAGCTACAATGTTTTTATTTATAAATGTTGCTTGGCAAGAAACGGGACTGTACCAGAAGTTTCTGCATTTATGGTAATTATTAGGGAAAATGAGGAGTAGGGAAGAAGTGAGAGAAAATTATAGACCCTCTCAGTGGTATGCTAAGAAAAAAACCTGTTCACAGGGAAAATTGCCAGTAGCCACAGGGACTTTTTCTTTTACTTTTGGAAAAAGGACAAAATAACCTCAGCAACTTCAGGTGTAATTTTCTAACTGTTCTAATGCAAAAACCATTTAGCTCCTTTTTCAAAATATATATCTTTTTTATTTTAGAGTGAGAGAGTGAGTGAGTAGGAGAGGAGGCAGAGGGGGAGAGAGAGAGAGAGAGAGAGAGAGAGAGAGAGAGACAGACACAATCCCAAGCAGGTTCCGCATTGACGCGGCGCTCAATCCCACAACCCTGGGATCATGACCTGAGCTGAAATCAAGGCGCCCTGGCTGCTTCTTTATTCACATGAACTATGGCCTGACACATGAGATGTGTGGGCTCCCCACCTTGCTCTCCTTCCACCTTCCTGGCTTTGATTGTAAAGAGTAATGATTTCCTTCTCTCATACATCCTGGGAAGGATCTAGACGCTGGGCTCCAGGTGGACTGCTGTCCTTCCACTGTGGCCAGGAAACTCGGGTTCTGCACGCACGGCCACAGCATCTCTGGCCAAGGCTCCCCTGTGTCTCCCACCATTGTAGCGCCCTCAGACTATGATTCACTGGCTCCAGTCCTTTTTGCTTCCATTGTTGTGGTTTCGTTGCCTCATGTATTTCTAATAGAGAATACTTCTTTTTGAGAGAGAGAGTGTGAGCAGGGGAAGTACAGAGAGAGGAGGGAAGACAGAGAGAATCCCAAGTAGGCTCCATGCTGTCAGCACAGAGCCTGACGTGGGGATTGAACCCAGAGACCCTGACATCTGACCTGAGCCAAAGTCAGATGCTTGACTGACTGAACCACTCAGGCACCCTACATGCTTTCTTGAACATTTTCCAATATTCAGCTTCCTTAAATATTGTTTCACACCCGTACTTTTCCCTGGAAGTTCTTCGTTCTTGGTGTGGTTTTTGCCACATGCACAGCGCTTGAGAAGGTGAACTAATACAATCTCATCACACCTTCCCTCTGCCCCTATCCTGGCCATGGGGAGTGCAGCTTAGTGTGCAATCTTCAGTGGTGGGTTTGAGTCTCAGAGTTCAGAAAAATGTTAGTTCACTTGAAATTATGTGGATTTAAATTTTGATGCCTATAACTATGCTCTATAATTAAATTTCTCTTTATTTCTTATGTCTCCCCCCTATCTTTGAGTTCCGTTCACAAGTGAAAAAAATGGTGTCTTATACAATTATGTTTAGTAGGTCACTATTTGTGTCTTATTGCATACTTTGGTTGAGAAGTGCATTACTCACAGATGCTCTAGGTTTTTACAATATCGTTGAAATCTTGCCACAGAAAACATTACAGCAAAATCACCACGTGTAGCAAAACACCGTTCCAACTGCAAAAGAGTTGAAACAGTTCCCCAGTATTATTGTAGAGGGGATTGTCCCATACTTACTTTTTAAGCCACTACTAGCAAGAGCATGGGACCGTACAGATACTCTCGTTTCTACAATTTCACAATGGAAAGTTTACATTTCTGATTTTTCAGAAATATATGCAAACCCCCCCCCCCCCCCCCCCCCACCATCCCCACTCCCACTGTTGACTGTGGTTTATGCACGGTGTTAGCACATAGTTCCAACATTTGGGCATATGGGATTTCAAATCAAATTTCCTTAGTTTTATTAAGGCTTACCAGTATCGAACTACATTGACATGCTACTCAATAAACTGAGACAGAAGACAGATGTATTATAGCAGAAGGAATGGGAGATTCTGTGTTTCTATGAAAGCCAACTTACAAAGACTTGAGCAAGGGAGGATAATAGGGAAGTAGCTGTGAAACGCAGCTCTGGTACGTCTTATTTCCTCTAACAAATGATCTGGGGGACAGGTGGAGTCCTGGCATGTGGATGTTTTATCCAGCTGCACTGTTACAATTTTGGGACGGAACACGGTCCTCTGGCCAGGCAGGGCTACCTTCATGTCCCAGATGCTCCAGTGTCCAGGGAGTCAGTCCCTTCAGTGCCCCACCATCACCTGTGGTGGCGTCTTAATCACCACCCTCCCTTGTTCCTCTGCGAACCTGGAGTTCCCACTGAACTCGAATCTGTGGTTGGCATGTAGATGTGGTGATGCTCAGCACGTCAAGTGCACCAGGGGACAGAGGCACAAAGTGAGGAGCCCCCAGCTCCGATGTTTGCACCCCCTGCCCCCGTGCAGGGAGAGACCCGCCCACCTACCACCCTTTAGGTTTGCCTATTTCTGGAGTTTCCCAGATTCTCCTCCCATGCTCATGCCCCCCACATGCAAAGCTGCTCTTGCAAACTGTGGACTGGTCCACTGCCTCCCTCACCACCCGAGGTCTCTCCTGGGCCCTCGTCTAGGCCTCTTCCTCGGACACGGCCCCTTGTTACTTCTGCAGGCATGTTTCCACTCGGCCTGCAGACCTTCCTTCTGTGGGTGCAAGGAGTCCAGTGTTGCCTCCAGGACACGGGCAGGGCGGGCCGGGTGCTGGAACGGGAGCAGGCGGGATTGCCTCGGGGACTGGTGGCCATCGGCCGCACACTTACCGTCAACTTTGTCTGTTCACTTCCAGTATTTTTATATTGCTTCCCTGCGATTTCCCTCCTTGGGCTCTTCCCGCAGATCGACACTTTCTGCGTTTACCTTCTGGAACAGATTGACATGCTGTTTTTTGGAGGTTCTGGTAGGTCATTGACATCCTACTCTTCCTGTAAAGGAGTCTGAAGTTCCGATAAGGGCTGAGTGGAGTGAGAGTCCGGACAGCTAGGTTTTCTTTGTCATGAGCACTAAACGGCTTCATGCGTGCATCTGGACAGACAGGGGACCCGTGTCTCCGCCTGTGTGGACCCTCCCTTGGCGTGGCACTTTAGATTCCCACCGAGGTGGATAAAACCTCGCCTAATCCTTACCTGGAGACTTTGTGCCGGTTGCTTAACTTTAAAGTTCATGCTTCTCTAAATGGAAATGAACATGTGGATCTCCTAGGGGTTCTGTAAAAACTAAATGAAATTGTACATGAAGCACTCGGGCGTTGCTGGTGATCAGTACTATGACCACCTCATTACACACACACACACACACGCACACACGTGCTAGCGTTGCTTGTTCATTACACTCATCTCTCTCTCTGACCCCCTTCTGTGGAAACCTTCACCCGCGAGGTTTATCGTGGCCAGCAGCTTTCAACTGTAAACAAGGAGGTCTCCCTACGTCCTCACGGGGCCTGTTCACGCAGTCTTCTATGAATGGTGCCCCCAGTTCTCTCTAAATGCTTTCCTCCTGCATGTTTAGTAAGTGGTCTGTCTTTCTCCTAGTAACAGTCATCCAGTGCTTTTGCCTGCCCCCTCGGACTTCCTCTTTGCCCCCCTCCACCCCCGGCAGACATCTTGTATTCCAGACCCGCCACCGTCTCCTCGCGTCGTTACATTTATTGACCACGAGACCGTTGGTGTTTGTGTTTCAGCCGTTTCCGGGATGACGTCGGCTGTTTACAGCGTGGCCCGGAGTGCCGCCTCCGCTGCCCTACTCCACGTGCTCTGCTTCAGCGCCGTGAAGGTAGGCGTGAGGACCCAGGGCCTCTGCCCTTCTCCTCCCATTCAGTAAACCAACTGGGGGTTCAGGCGGATCTGAGCACATCAGGAGAGGCAGGGCCCCGAGGGTGGGGCCTCGGTGGCGTTAGAAGACATCTTAAGATACCTGATTAATAGGAATCACAGAGCCACGTGGTCTCATCCCGCTCTGCACCTGCCCCTCTGGCCTGCTTACTGATCCTGGGCCTCTGCCTAGCATGGCGGTCAACGGGACCTGTTGGGTTGACCCTCCCTGCTTTCTGAAGTATCGCTCAAAAGGCAGTAAAGAGATCCAATGGCGTAAAGCTATGTGGACGGAGAACGGGAGAGGGTACGACAGCAACATGGTTTTAAAATCTAGAAAACAGGACCCGTAGACTTCTCCAGATGGAGAAAGTTGACGCTCAGGAGGGCAGCAAGGGAGGCCCACGAGGATGAAAACACAAGATGAGCATTGACCTCAGGAAAACAGAAAGTTGTGTCTGAAAACCAGAGGTAATTACTATGCATGCAGTGGCTCAGCTGTGAACAATTCTTTGTATTTGTGGCGACTGGAATGACAGTTATATGGGGAAGGGAAGTGCGTGTGAGCGAGTTTGTGTGAGTGTGACCATCAGGGCTGCCTTTTTTTTCTTTTTAATTTTTTTAATGTTTACTTATTTTTGATAGAGAGACAGAGCATGAGCGGGGGAGGGGCAGAGAGAGAGGGAGACACAGAATCCGAAGCAGGCTCCAGGCTCTGAGCTGTCAGCACAGAGCCCGACGTGGGGCTTGAACTCACGAACCGCGAGATCATGAGCTGAGCTGAAGTCGGACGCTTAACCGGCTGAGCCACCCAGGTGCCCCTGGGCTGTCTTAATCCTGTCTCCCACACTGGAAAGCCAGCAGATAAAATCTAAGATAGAAAAAGATCATGAAATAACAGGGGCGCCTGGGTGGTTCAGTCAGTTAAGTTCCCAACTTCGGCTCAGGTCATGATCTCACGGTTCGTGTGTTCAAGTGCGCTGGGCTCTGTGCCGACAACTCCGAGCTGAAGCCTGCTTCAGTTTGCGTCTCCCTCTTCCTACCCCTCCCCTGCTCATGCTCTGCCTCTATCTCTGAAAAATAAATAAAACATTAAAAAAAAAAAGAAATAACAAAATAATATGTCACCTGGAAATATGGAGAAACATGGGCGAAGAAGCACAAGCTGCCTTCAGACAGCAGGAATTTGGGCCATGAGGTGGTGTAGACAGGGAACACTCCTGCTCATTTTCAGTATTATAGAATTGTAGAGTGCCCATAAAGTCTGAAGACAGTAATACACGTAATGTTGGGGGCATCTTCGTTCAGGAAAATTTAATTAATATTACACACATTTGTTGACTTTATGGACATCCCACATTTAATGTTTCAAACAACAGGTACGTCTGATAAAATAGAAATTTAATGTGAAAGAGAAGGTAAAAATAACGCATGTTCCATAGGGTTTTTAAGATCTAGCAAATGACACTTCTTAGCCAACTCTTTCAAAAGAGTAACTTACAGTCTTATTAAATGCATCATTGTGGGCGGCAGAAAGGTCATTGTTTATTCCCACTTGTGGAAGATGGGGGGTGCGACATGATCCTCTCCCAGGGCGTTCCCATGAATTTGTCTGTGACCCTCAATGGCCTGATTTCCTCCCTCACTCCTTCCATCCCTTTCGTATAGGTAGTTTCTTTCGCATAGAAAAAGGGGAGGAGGAAGATTCCTTCTTCTAATGCACAAAGGTAACTTACGTGCTGGTGGGGACACTGTCACCACGTTTACACCATCATGTAGAACAGTCATTACAGAAGGAATCAATGTTTCTGGTGTTCTTTCTTTTGAAATACATTCTTCTATTCTGTCACGGTTTTATTCAGGAAAAGTACATGGATTATTTTCTGAGTCCTTGTACTTCTGAGGACTGTACATCTGTCTGTAAAGCTCGGGGGTCACAAGCTCTTGCGCACAGGACCCTTTGTTTATTACTTACTCTGTTGTGTTTCGGTGTCTGTTTACATATATATTTTTCACGCATTTTAATTTTTTATTGTTTTGTATTTTAATTTTTTAAGAGTATTTTTAATTTTTTTGTTCTTGGTGTTTAGTTTTCAGTTTAATTCCAGTTAGTTAACGTACAGTGCTATGTTAGTTTCACGTGTGCAATTTAGTGATTCAACATTTCCACACAACACTTGGTACTCATCACAGCAAGGGCACTCCTTAATACACACACACACACACACACACACACACACCACATCTTTATCCATTCATTGGTCAGTGGACACTTGGGCTGATTCCATAGTTTGGCCATTGTAGATAATACTACTACAAACCTAGGGGTACATGCATCCCTTTGAATTAGGGTTTTTATATTCTTTGCATAAATACCCAGTAGTGTGATTGCTGGACTGTAGGGTTGTTCTATTTTTAATTTTTCGAGGAACCCCCATCCTGTTCTCCACAGTCACTACACCAGTTTGCATCCCGACCAACCGTGTACAAGGGTTCCTTTCTCTCCACATCCTTGCCAACACCTGTTGTTTTTTGTTTCCATACATTTAAGAAATCTGATTTACTGGGATATAAATTCTATACTGTAAAATTTACCTTTTTAATATATACACTTAGGTAAGTTTTGATGGATGTATGTAGTCATGTAACTAACACCACACTCAAGTTGAGCGATGTTTGCACCAACTCCAAGGTTCCCTGGTACCCCTTCATAAGCCACCCTCTTCGTCCTACTGTAACCTTTGGCTATGACTGAATTGATTTCTGTGGTTATAACTTATAAAACACAACTTCATACGATAAAATTCATGGGTTTTAAATATATAATTATATGAGTTTTGATGACTGTATATAATCAAATATCATCAAAATATTATTTATTATGAATTCTTTAATAGTATCACAATACACACATCACAATCATGATATAGAACAATTCCACTTCCCCCGAGTGTTCTCTGTGCTCCTTTGTAGTCCTTTCTCTCCCATGCCCAGGTTTCTGCCACTGCTGATCTGCTTTCTGTCATTCCAGTCTTGCTTTTTCTCGAATCTCAAATAAATGGAATTATACAACATGTAGCTTTCTGAGAGTTTGACTTCTTTCACTTAGCAGAATGCTTTTGAGATCCTACCATGTTGTTACACATGTCAGTAGTTTTTCTTTTTTATCGCCGAGTAGTATTTCTGTGGTTATTTCCAGTTTTTGAAAATTATAGAGAAAACTTTTTTTTAAGAATAATTTTTTTAATGTTTATTTACCTTTAAGAGAGAGAGAGAAAGAGTGTGCCATATGAGCGGGGTGGGAGGCATGGGGCACAGAGAGAAAGGGAGACAGAATCTGAAGCAGGCTCTAGGCTCCTAGCTGACAGCACAGAGCCTGATGCGGGGCTTGAACCCACGAACCCTTAGATCATGATCTGAGCCAAAGTCAGATGCTTAACTGACTGAGCCTCCCAGGCACCCCAAATTACAGATAAAACTTCTATAAACATTTGTGTACAGGTATTAGTGTGGATATGTGTTTTTATTATTTTTAGTAAATACTTAGGAGTGGTATTGCTGGGTCAAGTGGTTAATCAATGTTTAACTTCGTAAGAAACTGCCAGGCTGTTGTTCAAAGTGTGCACCATTTTTGATCCCTTCAGAGTCTTTGAGATTTCCAAGTGTTCCAGATTCTTTCTAGCACTTAAAATTTGTAATAGTTTTTAAAAATAGTACTCATCCCAGTATGAACTAGTATCTGATTGTGGCTATAATTTGCATTTCTCTAATAATGACTGTTGTCAAGTATGTGCCATACTTTAGCTTGCTACTTGTGTATCTTTTCTGGTGAAAAATCTGTTAAAGTCTTTTGCCCATTTAAAAAAATTGCATTATATGTTCTTACTGAGATATAAGAGGTTTTTTTTTTTTTTTTTTTACATGCTATGAATACCAGTCCTTTATCAAATATATAGTGTACATATATTTTTTTCTAGTCCTTGGCTTGTCTTTTCATTTGATTAACAGCATTTATCAAAGAGTAGACATTTTAATTATAAGGAAATCCGATTTGTCAATTACTTATTTTATGGTTTGCACTTCTTATGTCCTGTCTAAAAAATATTTGTCTAACACAAGGTCACAAACATTTTTTTCCTCGAAGTTTTATAGTTGCAGCTTTTACATTTAGATCTCTGACCCACTTTGAGTTGATTTTTGTGTATGAGATGAGGTAAAGATTGAGATTCGCTGACACGATTGTTGAAAAGACTAACATTTCCCCCATCGAATTACCTTGGAAGCTTGGTCAAAAGACAATTACTGGCTTCTGGTTTCTGGTCCAGTATGTGAAGGGTTGGAAAGTTGTTACTTTATCCTAACACTAAGTAAATAGTTGAACAAATTTAAAAAAATCAACAACTCTTTTTGGATCCATCAGAGAAGGCAAGAAGCAAGCAAATCACTGCTTCCTAAATTGGAGAGACGGACAGGTAGATACAGGGGATCACAAGCTCCTGCAGCAGGAACCTCCATGGGAATGAGTACAAAGGTGGGAAAACCTGAACCATAATCAAGGAATTGCCGAAGGCTCAGTCTGGGCAAGTCTGAGAGTTAATATCTCCCAGGGGGTCCACTTCTCCAGGAGGCTGCACAATTTTGTGAGTTTTACCTCCAGGAGCTTGGAACAGGTTCTCACAGTGAATATTGAAGAAAAATCCCAAAATCCAACTCTTGCTTTTAGTAGGTGGAGGGGAAGAGTAAACATTCTCTTCTTAACAAGAAGAGCATTCTCTTCTTAACAAGAAGAGCATTCTCTTCTTAACAAGGCCTGACCTCATGATTTCCCCACAGCCTAAACTACTGGGATTTTTAAGAGCCTAACTGACTTAGAGGAAGGGAAATGCCAAACTCCAGTTGGCTCTAACCTTCCATGTGGGCGAAAGGAAATACCAACTCCAGTCCAGCCCCACCATTCTGTCTTACCTAAGCAGCACTCAGAAACACTTATGAAGTTCATAGTCCAGAGGCACAGGCTCACTAAAAAGCTGAGCAGTAATCATAGGACTATAAAATACTTCTCCCCCCATGCCTTAACATCACATCACTAAAGACCTGTTTACCACAGTTCCTTTTACCCAGTGTGTCATGTCTGGCTATCAAGAAAAAAAATTACAAGGCATACTAAAAGCCATAAAACACAGTTGGAATGGATAGAGCAAACATCAGAATCAGGTTTAGATATAGCAGAGATGTGGGAATTATCAGATTGGGAATGTAAAACAATTATGATTAATATGCTAAAGGATGAAGTAGACAGTATGCAAGGACAGATGGACAGTATAAGCAGAGAGATGGAAATTTTCAAGAAGAATCAAAAGGAAATGCTGGTGAAAGAAAACAACACTGTAATAGAAACAAAGAATGCTTTTAATGGACATAGCTGAGGAAAGAATCTCTGAGCTTAAGGCTATGTCACTGGAAACTTCCAGAATGAAAAAGCAAAGAGAAAAAGACTGAAGACAACAAAATATCCAAGGACTGTGGAACAACTACAAAAGATGAAACATACGTGTAATGAAAATGTCAGAAGGAGAAGAAAGAGAAAAAGGAGTAGAAAAATATACTTTGAAGCATTAATGACTGAGAATTTCTCCAAATTAGTGTCAGACACCAAGCCACAAATTCAGGAAACTCAAAAAACACCAAGCAGATGAATTCAAAACATCAACAAAAACAACAAAAACTAAACCAGTGCATATCATTCAAAATGCTGAAAACCAAAGATCAAAGAAAAAATCTTGAAGGAAACTGGAGGAAGAATTATCTTACCTTTGGAGGAGCAAAGATAAGAATTGTATGTGGTTTCTGCTCAGGAGCTGTTACAGACTGAGTTGTTTTCCCCAAATTCAACTGTTGAAATCCTAATGGGCTTTGGGGAGATAATTCAGTTTAGATGAGGTCCAGAGGGTGGGGCCCTCATGATGGGACTAGTGCCCCTGTAAGAAGAGAAATCACTGCTGTGTGAAGACACAGAGAGCAAGTGGCCATCTGCAAACCCAGAAGGGAGCCTGTATCAGCATCTGACCATGCTGGCACCATAATCCGTGGCCTCCTGACTTCAGAACTGTGAGAAATAAATTTATGGTGTTTAAGACATCGTGCTTAGTAATACACACACTGTATTTTGCTATGACAGCCTAAGCTGACTCATGACAGGAAACAACTCAAGCAAAACAAGAGTGGAGGGAAATAGTTAAGGTATTGAGAGAAAAAAAAAAAAACTCACCAAGCTATAATTCTGTACCCTGAAAAATGATCCTTCAGAAGTGATTTGTTGAAGGAGATTGGTTGCCAGTAGACCTGCCTTGCAAGACATGTTAAAAGAAGTTCTTCAGAGAAAAGAAGAATAATGTAGGACTGACACTCAGAACGACATAAAGGAGGGAAGATTATCAGGGAAGGAATAAGTGAGGGAGAAATAAATATTTCCGTTTTTTCTATTTATTGCAATCACATAATCAAGTAAATGTAAGTGTATAGTTGTTGTGAGTACTTGCATTACCCATAAAGTGGCACAGTGTTATTTGAAAGTGGACTTGACTTAATTATAAATGGATATTGCACATTCTAGGGCGACGACTAAAAGAACATTAAAAAAGAGGTATAACTGATATGTTAATAAAGGAGAGAAAATGAAATCATATGAAATCAATTAAAACTACAAAAGGCAGAAAAAGAGTGAAAGACAAAAACAGGAACAAAGACCAAGGGCAATGAATAAGGAACAGTAACAAATATAGCAAGTATTAATCCAACTATATCAATAATCACTGTACACACTAATGGTGCAAATGCACTGATTGAAAGGCAGAGATTGTCAGAGAGGATCAAAGAACGAGACCCACCTATATATCGTCCAGAAGAAATCCACTTTAAATATACAGACACATACATCTTGGAGGTAAATGGATGGAGAAATATGTACCTTGCTAAAACTAATAAAAAGAAAGCAAAAATATAGGGTGCCTGGGGGCTCAGTCCGTTGAGTGTCTGATTCTTGTTCTCAGCTCAGGTCATGATCCCAGGGTTGTGGGATCGAGCCCTGTGTCAGGCTCTGCGCTGATTGTGGAGCCTGCTTAAGATTCTCTCTCTCTCTCTCTCTCTCTCTCTCTCTCTCTCTCTCTCTCCCTCTCTCCCTCCCCCTCCCCCTCTCCCTCTCCCTCTCCCTCTCATTTTCTGTCTCCCCCTTCCTCTGCCCTTCTCCCCTGCTCTTGCTCTCCCTCTAAAAAAAATACAGAAAGAAAAAAGAAGAGAATGGCTGTATTGATTTCATACTGCAGAGCAATAGAGTGGACTTCAGAGCAAGAGAAGTTTTCAGAGATAAAGAGGAGCATTACATAATATTCAAAGGATCAGCTCTCCAAGAAGACATAACAATCCTGAGCGTGTATGTACCTAACAGCAGAATATCAAAATATTTGAAGGGGAAACTGATAAAATTATAAGGAGAAAAAGATGAATCCACTATTGTAATAGGAGACTTGAATACCTCTCTATCATAAATGGACAGATCCAGAAGGCAGAAAATCAGTAAGGGCGTAGATGAACTCTACAGAATCATTAATCAACGGAATATATTGACATGTGTAGACTTCTTCATCCAACAATAGCAGAATACACATTCTTCTCAAACTCACAGGAAATATTCACTAAGGCAGACCACATCTTAGGCCATAAAACACTTATTAACACATTTAAGAATAGAAAGCATACTGTGTCTGCTTTCAGACCACAATGGAATTAAAAATTCCAAAATATATGGAGATTAAACAACACACTTCTTTTTTTTAATGTTTATTCATTTTTGAAAGAGACAGAGGACAAGCAGGGGTGGAATGGAGAGAGAGGGGGACACAGAATCCGAAGCAGGCTTCAGGCTCTGAGCTGTCAGCACAGAGCCTGATGCAGGGCTCAAACTCATGAACCGTGAGATCGTGACCTGAACCAAAGTCAGATGCTCAACCGACTGAGCCACTCAGATGCTCCTAAACAACACACTTCTAAGTAGCACATGGATCAAAGGAGAAATCTCAAGAAGAATTTAAATAATGTTTTGAATGAAATGAAAATGAAAATGCAACTTATCAAATTGAGTAGGATTCAGCAAAAGCAATGCTTAGGGTCAAATGTAGCATGAAATGTATATATTAGAAAAGAAAAAAAGATCTAAAATCAATAATCTAAACTTCCACCTTAGGAAACTAGAAGAAGAAGAGCAAATTAATTCTGAAGTAAACAAAAGAAAATAAATACTAAAAGTTAGAACAAAAAAATCAATGGCATTGAAAAATGGAAATTGATAGAGAAAATATATAAAACAAAGAGCTGGTTTTTAAAAAAAAAGATTGATAAAATTAATAAGCCTGTACCCTGGCCAATTAAAAAAAAAAGGGAGGAGATGCAAATTACTAATTATAGAAATAAATGAGGGGATATCCACTATAGATTCCATGGACACTAAAAGGATGATAAAGTAGTATTGTGAATAACTCAGTCTAGATAACGTAGATGAAATGGGCCAGTTCCTAGAAAGATGTAATCCACCAAAGACTCATCCAAGGAAAATGATTATCTGATTAGGATTGCATTTATTAAAGAAATTGAATCAATAATTAACAAACTTTTGAAACAAAAAGCACCAGGCTCAAAGAGGGTCACTGTTGAATTCTACCAAACATTTAGTGAAGAAATTATACCAATTCTCCACCATCTGTTTTAGAAGGTAGAGGCAAAAGGAATTCTTCTTAATACATTCTATGAGATCAGAATTATTCTAACACTTAAACCAAAGACATTACATGAAAAGAAGAGTACAGATTAATGTCATGAACAGATGCAAAAAATCCTCAACAGAGTATTACCCAGTCATATCCAACAATGTATAAAAAAAATTATATACCATGACCAAATGGAATTTATCTGAGGTATGCAAGGCTTGTTCAATATTCAAAAATCAAATAATGTAATCAATCACATCAACAGGCTAAAGAAGAAAAATCACATGATCATATCAACAGATGCAGAAAAAATCATTTGAAAACATCCAGCAACCATTCATGATAAAAACTCCCAGAAAACTAGAATTAGTAGAGAATTTCCTTAACTTGATCTAAGAACTTCTACAAAATACGTATGGCTCACATTGTAATGGTGAGAAACTAGTTTTCCCACTAATATCAGGAAGAAGGCAAGGATGTCCTCTCTTACTATTCCTTCTCAATCTATATTGGACGCCCTGCCTAATGCAATAAGATAAGAAAAGGAAATAAAGGTGTACTGCTTGGTAAGGAAGAAATAAAACTGTGTCTTCAGAGATGTCATGATTTTCTATGTGGAAAATTAAAAAATTGATGACAAAAAACTCCCTAGAACTAATAAGTGGTTTAGCAATATTGGAGGATACAAGGTTAATATGTAAAAGTTATTCACTTTCCTATATATCAGCAATGAACAAGTGGAATTTGAAACTAAAAGCACATAACAAGAAGATATTACTACACAGCTATCAGAATGGTCCAAATCCAGAACACTAACAACACCAAATGCTGGTAAGGATGTGCAGCAACAAGAACTCTGATTCATTCTAGCAGGGTTGGAAAATTGTGTAGCCATTTTAGAAAACAGTTTGGCAGTTTCTTTCAAAGTAAACATGTTTGTATTATATGTGTGTTTGACACTATCATTAAGTGGTATTGTATAATTGAAGTTTCTGATTGTTCATTGATAATATATACACTTATTGTTGTATATTTAGGGTAGTATCTTGGAACCTTGTTAAATACTTATTCTAGTAGCTTTTTTGTAGCTTATTTTTTTAAATTTAATTTTATTTTTTTAAATTTACATCCAAGTTAGTTAGCACATAGTGCAGTGATTTTAGGAGTAGAATCCAGTGTTTCATCCCCTATGTATACCACCCAGTGCTCATCCCAGCAAGTGTTCTCCTTAATGTCCCTTGCCCATTTAGCCCGTCCCCTACCCACAAAACCCACAACAACCCTCAGTTTGTTCTCTGTATTTAAGCGTCTCTTCTGTTATTTTCCTCTCCCTGTTTTTATATTTTTGCTTCCCTTCCTTTATGTTTATCTGTTTTGTAGGTGTGAGGTGGTGTGTCATTGTGGTCTTGATTTGTATTTCCCTGGTGATGAGTACGCTGAGCATTTGTTCGTGTGCCTATTAGCCATCTAGATGTCTTCTCTGGAAAAGTGTCTGTTCATGTCCTGTGCCCATTTCTTCGCTGGATTGTTTTTTTGGGTGTTGAGTTTGGTAAGTTCTTGATAGATTTTGGATACTAACCCTTTATCTGATATGTCATTTGCACATATATTCTCTCATTCCATCGGTTGCCTTTTAGTTTTGCTGATTGATTCCTTTGCTGTGTAGAAGCTTTTTATCTTGATGATCATTTTTGCTTTTATTTCTCTTGCCTCTAGTTCATTTTTGCTTTTATTTCCCTTGCCTCCAGAGACGTGTTGAGTAAGAAGTTGCTGTGGCCGAAGCAAGCAGGTTTTTGCTTGCTTTCTCCTCTAGGATTTTGATGGCTTTCTGTCTTATCTTTAGATCTTTCATCCATTTTGAGTTTATTTTTGTGTAGGGTGTAGTAAAGTGTTCCAGGTTCATTCTTCTGCATGTCTCTGTCCAGTTTCCCCTAACACCATTTGCTGCTGTCTTTATTCCATTGCTGTGTCAAAGATTAGTTGGCCACATAGTTTGTGGATCCATTTCTGGGTTCTCTATTCTGTTCCATTGATCTATGTGTCTGTTTTTGTGTCAGTACCATAATGTCTTGATGATTACAGCTTTGTAATACAGCTTGAAGTTCAGAATTGTCGTTCCTCCAGCTTTGGTTTTCTTTTTCAGGATTGCTTTGTCTATTCAGGGTCTTTTCTGGCTCCATACAAATATTAGGATTGTTTGTTCTAGCTCTATGAAGAATGCTGGTGTTATTTTAATAGGGATTGCATTGAATATGTAGATTGCTTTGGGTAGTATGGACGTTTAAAAATATTTGTTCTTCCAATCCATGAACATGGAATGTATTTCTATTTGTTTGTGTCTTCTTCAGTTTCTTTCATAAGCTTCCTATAGTTTTCAGTGTATAGCTTTTGCACCTCTTTGGTTAGGTTTATTCCTAGGTATTTTATGGGTTTTGGTGCTGTTGTAAATAGGATCGATTCTTTGGCTTCTCTTTCTGCTGTTTCATTATTGGTGTATAGAAATGCAACCGATTTCTGTGCATTGATTTTATATCCTGCAACTTTGCTGAATTTGTGGAGCAGTTCTAGCAGTTTTTTGGTGGAATCTTTTGGGTTTTTCCATACAGAGTATCATGTCGTCTGCGAAGAGTGAAAGTTTGACCTCCTCCTTTCCAATTAGGATGACTTTTATTTCTTTGTGTTGTCTGAGTATTGAGGCTAGGACTTCCAATACTATGTTGAAAAACAGTGCCGAGAGTTGACAACCCTGTTGTGTACCTGACCTTAGAGGAAAAGCTCTCAGTTTTTCCCCATTAAGGATGATATTAGTGGTGGGTCTTTCGTAGATGGCTTTTATGATCTTGAGGTATTATCCTTCTATCCATACTTTCTTGAGGGTTCTTATCAAGAAAGGATGCTGTATTTTGTCAAATGCTTTTTCTGTGTCTATTGAGAGGGTTGTGTGGTTCTTATTCTTTCTTTTATTAATGTGATCGATTTCACTTTGATTGATTTGCAGATATTGAACCAGCCCTGCATCCCAGGAATAAATCCCACTTGATCTTGGTGAATAATTCTTTTAATGTATTGTTGGATCTGGCTGGCTAGTATCTTGTTAAGAATTTTTCCATCCATGTTGATCAGGGAAATTGGTCTGTAGTTCTCCTTTTTAGTGAGGTCTTTGATTTTGGACTCAAGGTAATGCTGGCCTCATAGAATGAGTTTG